AGTTACTGTTTCGGAAATCAAACCGGAATTGCGTTTTGACAGGTTGGGAGGGAGACAATACCGAGTGTTTGATGAAGATGCCTGTGCATGGATTGCTTGAATGGCAAAAAGCGTTCATGTTTCACCGCCTTGTCATTTGTACAGCTATGTGCTAAGCGCCTTACCCCCGGGACAAGAACTTTCTAACTCTCTTTTTGGAGAAGCTTTGAGGAGTGTTGCTTCAGCTTTGAACTACAATAGCACCTCTTCGCATACCAGCATAGATAATAAGTACTCTGGATTAGGCCTAGTTTACAGAAGAGTCTTGGTTCTATTTACCAGAGAACTGTTCCCTCTGCTAAAACATCTTACTGTAATGAGAAAAATAGGCATTTTTATAGAATTACTTAGTTTTTCAATTAAAAGATCTTCTGTTTCTGAATAGATACCATTTCTTTTAGATTACTGAGATAAATTATTTTTTTCTGGAAATGTGTAAGGGAGATTTGAAATTGCAAGAATCATACATGTTAATGGGAGCTGTGATTAAACTTGTCCTGGAATTTTTAGAGTCAGACAAACCTTTAGAGATCTAATGTGACTTGTTTTAGAGCCAGGAAGCTAGGCCCAAAGGAGATGAGTGATTTGCTGTGGGTCCTACAACTGGCCAGGGATTGGACCAAATCTAGGCTCTAGGCCCCATTTAAAGACCTCTTTTCACTATACTTCTGAGCCTCTTATTTTTCGTTGATTGCATTCATTACCACCAATATCCATGCCCATCTCTGGGTCCTTGTGCAATAAAGTTGAAAGCAAAGTTGAGAGACCCCTCATGATTCTGACAGCTAGCCTCAGTTACCTCATGTAACTGATGGAAATTTTTTTTCCTAACCTGGATTTAATAAAAACTAGCTGACATTTCATTTATAGTTTTCATAGGCCTGTGACTACATTTTCACTCAGTTATAACGTGGCTCATTCTTGCATGCATTTGGTAAAACTCATAGGTCACTATTCTGTACCACAAAACCTAGTACATTGTTCTGTGCCCCAACACCAGCATTTGAACAAGTTCTTTGTATGAGCTCTAATTTTAGGATTTAAAACACCTGTCTTGTGTTTCCCAGGTTATACCACCTAGTTTCCATGTATCTTGAGTCACAGCAGTTTTCTTTGTTGTGTGTCACAGGTTAACCTTAAGAAATACAATAATAGCAAAGGATTCTCATTTCATATTCTAGTCAATGAAACTCACCAACATTGTACTTGCGTTCACTTAGGTATTACTGAAGATCTGCTTTGTGTTTTTCCATTTTACTAGGTGCTTCAGGAGAAAAGAAAGTAGTGTTAATATATAGACTTTGCCCTCAGGAAAGATATTCCATTTTACTAGGTGCTTCAGGAGAAAAGAAAGTAGTGTAATATATAGACTTTGCCCTCAGGAAAGATAAGATGTACCTTATGAGTCTAGAAGACAATCTAGTAAGGTCTACCAGTACAAAGAATGCTGTAGGTTTTCTGGTTAGAGGGAGATGAGTGAGGCCTCAGTAGTCTGTAAAGAACTTCCTGGAACACTTGAGACTTGAGCTGGCCTATGAGGGTTTAGATTTACAGAGAGATTAGAGCAGTTACTTTGTGAGGGAAAAGTGAGAGTGTAATGTGGAGATTAGCTTTGGGAGAGGGAAATAAAGGGGAACTAGGATGAGCCAACAACTGAATTTCCTTGGAGGAGACTAAAAGGAAAACTAGACAGCTGGAAGGGTATCTGCTGGAGAAGTACTGGATTGAGGAGATTTGGATTTTTATCCTCTTGTGCAAGATATGGGGGGCCTTTGAAAGTCTGGAGGCCAAACATTAATGTGGTAAACTACTGCCAGTGATCTACCTGCCAGATTGAGTTAAAATGAGAAAAGATGGCATGAACCAGGCACTGTAGTAGCTGTTGCAGTTACCTTGGCATAAAGAGATGAAATTCTAGACTAGGATAGAGTCTGTAGGAAGAATGCATAGCAGGTGTTGGGTTTTTTTGTGTGTGTGTGTGTGTGTTAAGATATACATAACATAAAATTTCCTGTTTTAACCAGTTTTACATGTACAGTTCTGTGGCATTAAGTACATCACATTGTGCAGTCATCACCACCATCCATCTCCAGAACTTTTCATCTTCCTCAACTGAAACTCTGCCTGTTAAAAACTCTGTTTCCCTTTATTGCCCAGCCCCTGGTAGCCACCAGCCTACCCTGTCTCTGTGAATTTGACGACCCTAAGTACCTCATATTAGTGGAATCATACAGTATTTGTCCTTTTGTAACTGCCGTATTTCACTTAGCATAATGTTCAGGGTTCATCCATGTTGTAGCATCTGTCAACTTCATTTTTAACGTGAATAATATTCCATTGTATGTATGTACTACATTTTGTTCATCCATTATCTGTCAGTACTTGGTTTGCTTCCACCTTTTGGCTTTTGTGAGTAATGTTATGAACGTGGGTGTACAAACAGCTGTTTGAGTCCATGTTTTCATTTCTTTTGGTAAATAACCAGAAAATTTTAAATTCCCACCAGCAGTGCACAAGGGCTCCCATTTCTCCACATCATCAACAACACTTGTTTTCTGTCAATTTGATAATAGGCATCCTAATGGGTGTGGATGGTCTCACATTGTGGTTTTGATTTGCTTTTCCCTGATGACTAGTGATGTTATCTCATGTGCTTATCAACCTTTTGTATGTCTTCTTTGGAGAAATATCTGAGTTCTTTGCCCATTTTTTAATCAAATTGTTTGCTTTTTTGTTGTTGAGTTGTAGTTCTTTATATATTCTGAGCATAATCCCTTGTCAGATATATGAGTTGCGAATTTTTTCTGCTATGCCATGCATTGCCTTTTCACTCTCTTGAGTGTCCTTTGATGCAGAAAACTTTTTAATTTTGATAAAGTCCAGCTTACCTGATTTTTCTTTTGTTGCTATGCTTCTGGCGTCAGAAGCAATCATTGCCAAATCCAGTGTCATGAAGTGTTCGCCTTTTAAAACTATTAGTTTTTCCCACCTAAAAAAACTTATGCTTTGGTCTTTGCATGTGAATGCCCAGATTTCCCAACATCGTTTGTTGAAAACTTTTTTCCATTGAATGATCTTGGTATCCTAATCAAAAATCACTTCTTTATACATTTGAGGGTTTATTTCTGAACACTCTTCCACTGTTAAGTCTGTCTTCATGCCAATTCTATACTGTTTTGATTACTGTAGCTTTACAGTAAGTTTTGAAATCAGGAAGTGTGAGACCTCCATTTTTCTTTTTCAAAATTGTTTTGACTGTTAGAGGTCCCTTGAGATTCCATAAGAATTTTGGGATGGATTTTTCTATTAGATGTATATGATTTCTGTATATAGAAATGTAATGCAATTTCTGCAAAAAATGCCATTGGATAGGCATTTTGGTAGGAATTACACTGAATCTAGATTGTCTGTAGTAGTAGTGACATGTTAATATTAAGCCATGAATGAATGTCCATGAATGTCCAGTCCATGAATGAATGCCAGATGACTTTCAATCTGTCTGTTTAATTTTTTGCCATAAAATTTTGTAGTTTTCCGTTAAAAGTCTTTTCATCTCCTTGGTTAAGTTTATTCCTGAGTATTTTATTCTTTTTGATACTCTTATAAATGGGATTGATTTCTTAATTTCCTTTTTGGATCATTCATTGTTAGTGTATAGAACACAACTCATTTTTGTGGTTGATTTTGTATCTGACAACTCTATTAAGTCATCTGTAAGTTCCAACAATTTTATGTTTGGCGTCGGGGGAGGTGTGTGGAATCATTAGAGTTTTCTACATGCAAGATAATGTTGTCTTCAAAGATAATTTTACATCTTCCTTTCTGATTTATGTGCCTTTAGTACTTTGTCTTGCCTGGTTGTCTGGCTATTACTTGTAGTACTATATTGAATTGAAGTGGTAAAAATGCACATCCTTGTCTTGATCCTTTCTGTGACCATTGAGTATGATGTTAGCTGTGGGTTTTTCATATGCAACCTTTATTAAGTTGAGATAGTTTCCATATATTCCTGGTTTGTTGAGTATGTTAGCAGATATGTTTTAAGGGAAAAAAAAGTTATGGGTGTTGAGAGTTTCTACCCCTGTGAAACAGAAAATTCTGTCATTGGCAGAATATATTATTGCCAAGTTGATGTTTTAGGCATCATCTCTGTACATTTGCAGTCATATTTTGGCTGAAGAAAAAATAGTACTGCAGTTATTCAGTTGGGAAGGCTGACACTGATCAAATAATCATACAAATATGTGCCTGGATAACTAGTATTTTGCTCATACTTTTATTGCCAGCATCATCTAGCATACTGTCAAGCACATAGGTGCTCACTAAAGTTATTAACTGAATTAAGCAGAAGACTAAGATTTAACCCAATTAGCTATAAAGTATATTTATAATTTTGTATGGAATAGTGTTTATTATCTTATTTAAAAACCATCTTCTCTGTTAACCCACTCTTGGTACAGTGGTAATAAGACAAAATCAGACTTCTCCATTCCAAAAAGAAGCA